AAAAAAAAAAAAAAAAAAAAAAGAAGAGAAATCTCAAAAGAGGAACAAAGTTCAAAAAGAGCAAAAGCTCAACAAAGAAAAAAAAAAAGAAGAGAAAAGAAAAAAGAAAAAGAAGATAAAAGAGAAATGACAATGCAAATGTCACATGGCAAAGGTTGAAATGGAAAGCTCCTAACTTAGGCATGTAACCTGGGGGACATGTTTGGTAATTTTGAGCCTTTAATTCTCATTCTTTTCATAAAACCTTAACCAAACCCCATTACAACCCAAGGAAAAGTCCTTTTTGAGGGTTTTAAAGCCTTAGAAATCGAAATGATGGCAATCATTAGACTAAGGATAGCAAATCATGATCAAATTCAAGAGCTAATAGATTCAATGATGAGAGTCCATGTTTTTTTACCTTAAATATTCTACATTGTCCTCAGTCACCCCTTTGGGCCTAAAGAAAAGGCAATCATCCAAATTATAAAAACCGAGATGATTTTGTTGCAAATTCACCTACATCATGAATCTGGGAAGTGAAGAAAGATTGTGAAAGGGAAATACCAATGGAAAGGGATTTTTGAGCCTTCATATCCTTTTTTTTGATAACTTAACCCAAAGCCACATTACAAGCCAATAAATGTCCTTATCAAAGAATTTAACAACTCTTAGTTTGATCGTGAATTTTCCAAAAAAAAAAAAAAAGAAGAAGAAAAGAGGGAAGAAAAGGGTGACCTAGCAAACTAAATGTTTCCTTGACTTGGAAAGTTGAAGATCCAATGATGAAAGGCTTTCTTTCTCTATCTCAAACAGTTAACATTGTCCTTTGCTTACCCTTTTTGAGCCAAAAAAGGCAATCATCTAAGTTTAGAAAAATCGAGATGATTTTCTTCTATCAACCCACATTAATGCTCGGGGTCATGAAGAGAGAAATGTGAGGGGAATATATGGAAAAATTGATTTTGAGCCTTTATCCTTTCTTTCATGATAACCTAACCCCAAGCCACATTACAAGCCTTGCTGACAACTACTTAAGATTTTTTTCAAAATAAATGAAAAATCAAGTGTGAAGAATATAAAAGAAAATGGAGTCGCTACTCATCCAAATTATAAGGTAGGACAAGTTACCTAAAACGGGTCTGCACAGAGACTGAGATTCGGGGGTTCGGTTAGGAATGAGGAAGGGCATATGCACACCTCACAATCTTCCGTTTAAACACGGTTGCATACTTTAACATTGGGGTTTTAATTCAACTTATTCATTATGTTTATATTTGGGTCTTAATAAACAAGCTTGAAAAGGAGATAAACCAAATTGCAACATTTTTTTAATTTTTGGACTAAAATGGACAAAATCAAAGACATGCATGCATCATAAGCACAAATAAAAATTATGGGGACTAATTTGATTAAATTTGAAAACATGAAGGACTGATTTAAAAAGATTTGAAACCTTGGGACTAAATTGCTTAATCATAAAACTTTTGGATAAAATTGAGATAAAATAAAAGATAACTTTGATTTTGACCAAAATTAAAGTTGATTGAAAATTAAAATTAATTAATCAAGATAATTAATTTAATTGAATAATTAACTTAACATTAATTAAAATTAATTAAAATTAATTAAAATTAATTAATCACATTTATTAATTTGTTAATTAAAATAATTAAATAAATCTAATTATCTCAAATCAAATTCAATAAATATAATTAATTTATTTTAATTAAAATTAATTAACTTCATTAATCATAAATTAAATTAACTCATTTAATTAATTAATAATTTTATATATTTTCTTTTACTTTCTAACATTTTTAGATTTTTTTTTAGATTAGGTCGGATTGACCCGACCCACAAAACATGACCCGTCCACCCAAAACGGGCAAAACAGATTAAACACAAATAGAAAAAAGTCTTCTTCCTTATTCTCAAAAGGAAGGACACGTCCATCATAAAAATCACATTTTTTACCAACAGCAAAAAAAGAGCACATTCATCAGACAAAACAAACTGGGCAATCTTGGATTTCTCATTCATTTTTAACTAAAAATGCACAAGCTTAACATCTTAACCAAAAAAAAGTCAACAGAAACAAGTAGATAAACAAGCATGGCGGATTTTTTAGGAACAACAGATTTGGATTTGATGGAAGGAACCCCACCCACGGGGTCAAGCTTCCATCATCTCCTTCACCATTTTTCCTAACAAAATCCTCTGTTTCAGAGCTGTACCTAAGATGAAAACCCAGAAAATGGACAACCTCCTTCAGTGAGTTTTGGAAGCCCGGCGATCCTCTTCTTCTTACTGCAGCAATACCCAAACTCCAGAACCACAAGAGACAAGAGAAAAACCCCTCCTCTCAACTAAACCCCTCCTCTTCTCTCAACCACCCCTTTCTCCTCTCAACTAAAGCCCTCCTCTTCTCGGAATTTCCCTTTACTGCTCTCAAAAAAACCAAACAGAGACTTCCAAATCAACTCTGAAAATCAACCACAGACCCCCCCAAAAGACCTCTGCCTTTTGCTCTATATATACACCCATAATGATAAAAATAACAATAAAAAATGAAATTTAAAAAAAAAAAAAGGGTCTTGCTCTGTCCATCACCAATGATGCCAATTTTGTCTGGCATTGTTGTTTTTTTTGTATGGCTGTAGAGAGCAACAGAGTAGAGGCGCGAGATTTGGGCACTCTGTAGGCTCGGTGCAGCAGAGGGTCGGGATTTGGGCGCAGAGTGCAGGAGGCGCAGGCTCGGTGCAGCAGCGTGCAGGGGGTGCAGCCGGGCTGGTGCAGGAGCAAGGGCAGGGGCGTGGTGCAGCATGCAGGAGGCAGGCGTGGCAGGGGGTAGGGCAGAGCAAGGGTGTAGGCGTGTGGGAGGCATGATTGCCGGTGTGCAGAGGGGAGAGCAGGCGCAGTGTGCAGGGCTGGGCGCAGGAGCAGGGGATCCGGTTTGGGCGAGGCCGAGCAAGGCCGGGCGCAGGTTCGCGGTAAGCAAAAGGGAGAAGGCTTGGGTGAGGATGCAGAGCAGGGTTCGGGTGTGAGTGCAGATCCGGGCTCGGGGGTGTTGGCGAGGGGGGCAGCAAGGCGCAGCTCAGGTAAGCAAGGGGCGTGTGGAAGAAGAAGATTCTGGAAGAGAGAGAGGACGGGGACTTTAAAATATTTTTATTTTTTTTTTTAATCAGATCAAATTTTTTTTGTTTAGTTTTTTTGTTTTTTTTTTTTTGTTTTTTTTTTGGGTTTGTTTAGGTTAAATGGGTTCGGTATTTGGGCTTGGGTTTGGGTAATTGTGGGTTTTGGGTTTTGGGTAATTTTTGGTTTTGGGATTTTGGGCTTGGGTAGTTGGTAGGCTTTGGGTTTTGGGTAATTGGGTTTGAGTTTGGGTTTTGGTTTGAGTTTAATGGATTTTGGGCTAGACTTTGTATTTCACCCCTTCAACTTTCTATTTCTTCAATTGAGTCCTTTCTCTCATCTTTTCCAATCTTCTTTGTAAAATTTCCTTTTTGTCCCCCATTTTTTTTTTTATGAACCTAACAAGTAAAACAAAGACAAAACATATTAGTTAAAATAAAAATAAAAATAAAATAAAATTCTACTAAAATTTGAGTTATGGCAAGCCTATATAAAGTTCTGATTTGAGGGTTTGAAATTTTCTCTGTCAAGGAACAATAAAAAAAAAAAGAAAAAAGAGAAGAAGAAGAAATCCTTTCTCTAATGAGTCTAAGTCAGTTAGCATAGCTAAAAGCTCAATGGCTTATGATCGGTCTTCTAAACATGGAAGGTTAGTTCATAGGAAGGAGATATATTTGATTTGTCCACCTTGGCATGGAAGCAGACATTGTCTCATATGCTAAAGACTAGATTGGTGGAGTTACAAATAAAATAAATTCTTGAAGCAAATACTTTATAGCCTGAATGCCTGAAGCACCAAATACGCACTACTTTTAGGCAAGTGAACCTAATCAATTATGCAGTATAAGATGAATAAGATATCGTTCCTTCGAGGACTATCCTACACTACCAAGACCCTATTAATCTAACCTAAGTTGAATTAACCAATTAATGAGGAAAACTAAACTATTTAAAAGAAAACTAAGTCAACTAAAGAAAATTAAACTAAAGAATTTTCTAAGTTAAAAAAAACTATGAATGAAAAGGAACTAGGGTTTGGATTTCATTTAACTCTGAATTATACAACTGTTTCACTAATTTAATTCAAGTTCAAATAATAATGTTATTGCATGAGATGGCGGATTTCCCTAAATTAATTAACCAGCTTTCTCAAGTTAAGTTAATCCTTCATTTGTTTGCTAAATTAATCATATCTCTATGTAATTTTAAACAAAGCATTAAATTCTATGGAAACCTCTAGCTTAAGAAGGGGGAGCTACTAACCCTCTTCTCTTCCTCCACTACCACATGTGAGCTAATTACCTCTCGGTTTCATAGTCTAACACACGGTTTATATTATTATTGGTCTAATTTACACAATTTTTTCTCAAGTTCATGCATAAATCACTAAATCAGTTGAAAGGTGATCAAGCTCTCAATGCATTAAGTTCAATAATATAAACTCATCATACAAATAACCAATAAATCTTGAATTAAACTAACAAAAACAGTCACATATTCCAAAAATTAAAATCCATCCATCCCTAGTTCAAAGAATTCTAGCCACACATGTTTATGATTTCAACAGACATGAAAAATAAATCCCAGCAGAAAATCATAGTAAAAGGAAATCAGAAACAACAAAACCCAAACAATGGAGAATTGCTTGTCCGGAAGCAAGGCTAGGCGGTGAAGAAGCAAGGCTGGGCGGTGAAGAAGCAGATTTCAGGGTCCTCTTTGCAGATTGGATTCGCGTCCCTCCGAGTCGGCTGGGCGGCGGCTTTTCCTCCAATGTGCAGAGCAATCTCGCGCGGCTGTCCTCTTCTTCTCTGGTGAACAACAGATGTGGGTGGCTGGGTGCTGTTGACCTTGCGCAGAACAACTCCTCTCGCGTCTGTGTGTGGCTTGCGTTTTTTTTTTTTTTTCTGTTTCTGCCGAGTAGCATGTATATATATCTCTAGAAATTAGAAACCCCTTAACCCTAGCAGACATGGGAATTGGGCTTTGGTTTGGGCCTGGACTGCAGTTGGCCCAAACCTAAAAAACACAGCCCAATTCTCTTTATTTCTGCACTGTCTTGTCAAAACCGTCACTTTCAACTTCAATTCTGTATTGATACAGAAGGAACTGGGTTGAGCTCATAAAACATCAATTGTAGCTCTGCCTCTTAGCTTTCCAACACCTAAAGAATCAACTCAATCCGATACCTAGAGAAAAAGATATGGTTAAATTACTGCAGTATGTGCAAATTGTCACTTATTGCAAAATTAATTCCTATCTTAATTTCCACCTGCAAATAATGAAATTAATATAAACAAAGGTGAAACTAAGTTACAAAGGACCCATAATATTAAATTCTAGGCTCAAAAAGGATAGATAAATCCATATAAAAATTAAACTCATCAATGCCTCTTAACTTTGTTAAAATTATTGCATCAAAAGTTGTGCAATTCAAAAGTCATGTTAATCTCAAATCACATCATCCTCAAAATTTCATTACATTGTCTATCCATATTATCCACATCCTAATCTTCTCTTTCTATCCATTCATATTATCCATACCCTAACCTTCTTTTCCTTGTTTAGATTAGGATGCTAATTGGTTATGATGCTTTATTTCAATTAATATAATTGCTTTATTTAATTGAAATCTCTTGACAAATCTACAAAAAAAAAAAAAAAAGGATGAAAGTTGTAGAGAAAAGCAAAAGCTTGATTCAATGGTCATGCTGCTTATCCTATCTTGCAATGATTCGAGAATTTTCCCCAGTAAACTAGAGATGTTCTCAAGTCACTGAACTTTATGCAAAAGCATGTCATTGAGCCTATTGATGAATGCAAAACACAAAGGACACTTGACTCTTGCCAAGTAAGGACATCCACCATATGTTCAGGGAAGTTTCTTAACCTCTCTTCATTTTCCATCATCTTTTATGTGAAAGTTGTCACACTTGCATCTGTTTCATTATTATAGATCTTTCAAACATCACCTTCATTCGGCCCTTAGCCACATTCACCCTCATTCAGCTCTATTGCTACTCAATTTGCTTGGTCATTCAACCATGGCAACTTAACTTGCTCGGTCATTCGATTGTTGCAAGACAAACAAAAGTACAAGTATATTCATAAACACAAACACAAACACAAACACAAACACAAACACAAATACAAACACAAAATTGCTCGATCATTCGACCATACTCATACTAATACTCTACTTTTTTTCGGTCTTTCGGTCTTTCGGTCATTCGATCATACTGATACTCTACTTTTCAGTTTTTCGACCATACTAATACTCTACTTTTTTTGGTCGTACGATCATACTCTACTTTTTCTGGTCATTCGATCATACTGATACTCTACTTTTTCTGGTCATTCGACCATACTGATACTCTACTTTTTCCGGTCATTCGACTATACTAATACACTGATACTCTACTTTTTTCGGTCATTCGACTATACTAATACACTGATACTCTACTTTTTCCGGTCATTCGACTATACTAATACTCTACTTTTTTGATCTTTCGACCATACTGATACTCTACTTTTTTCGATCATTCGACCATACTAATACTCTACTTTTTCGGTCATTTGACCATTGCAAATATATAACCGTATCAACCCAACTTACTTGGTCATTTGATCATTGCAACCCTACTTGCTCGGTTGTTTGACCATTGCTACCCAATTTGCTCGATCATTCAATCGTTACTCATTTGGTCCATTTGATTGTTACCCCCTTGGTCATTCGACCGTTACTTGCTTGATCATTCGATTGTTACTCGTTTGGTCAATCTGATCGTTGCAGTTTCTTAACCGTTTTATCTCATTCATTTGGTCAATCCGATCATTGCAGTTTTCTAATTGTTTTATCTCATTCATTTTGTTAATTCGATCATTGCGATTTTCTACCATTTATCTCATTCGTTTGGTTAATCCAATTGTTACGGTTTCTTAATTGGTTTATCTTAATCGTTTTATCTCATTCGTTTAGTTAATTCGATCATTGCGGTTTCTAAACCATTTTATCTCGTTCGTTCAGCCAATCTGATCGTTGCAATTTTCTAACTATTTTATCTCATTTGTTAGGTTAATCCGATCGTTACTGTTTTCTAGCTGTTTATCTAATTCGATCGTTGTGATTTTCTACCCATTTTATCTTATTCGTTCAGTTAATCTGATCATTGACCATTTTATCTCATTCGTTCCGTAAATTTGATCGTTGTGATTTTCTAACCGTTTTATCTCATTCGTTTGGTCAATCCAATTGTTGCAGTTTTTTAACCGTTTTATCTCATTCGTTTGGTCAATCCCATTGTTGCAGTTTTTTAACTGTTTTATCTCATTTGTTCAGTGAATCCAATCGTTGCAGTTTTCTAGCTGTTTTTATCTCATTCGTTTAGTCAATCTGATCGTTGTAGTTTTCTAGCCGTTTATCTTATTCATTTGGTTAATCCAATTGTTGTGATTTCTCAATCGTTTTATCTCATTCGTTCTGTTAATCCGATCGTTGCGATTTTCTAGCCGTTTATCTCATTTGTTTGATCAATCTGATCATTATAGTTTTCTAACCGTTTTATTGCATTTGTTTGGTTAATCTGATCGTTGTGGTTTTCTAGCCGTTTATCTCATTCGTTCGGTCAATCTGATCATTGCGGTTTTCTAACCGTTTTATCTCATTCGTTCGGTTAATCCGATCGTTGCGGTTTCTTAACCATTTTATCTCATTCATTTAGTCAATCCGATCATTGCGGTTTTCTAGCTATTTATCTCATTCATTCTGTCAATCTGATTGTTGTGGTTTTGCTAACTGTTTTATATCATTCATTCGGTTAATCCGATTGTTGCAGTTTTCTAACTATTTTATCTCATTTGTTTGATCAATTGATCATTGCGATTTCTAGCCGTTTTTATCTCATTCTTTTGGTTAATTCAATCATTTTGGTTTTCTAACCGTTTATCTCGTTCGTTCAGTCAATTTGATCGTTGCGGTTTTTTAGCCGTTTATCTCATTCGTTTGGTCAATCCGATCATTACGATTTTCTAACCATTTTATCTCTTTCATTCGGCTAATCTGATCGTTGCGGTTTCTAACCTTTTTATCTCATTTGTTTAGTTAATCTGATCGTTGTGGTTTCTTAATCGTTTTATCTCATTCGTTTAGTTAATCCGATCATTGCGATTTTTTAACCGTTTATCTCATTCATTCGGTTAATCCGATTGTTGTGATTTTCTAGTCGTTTGACCTCATTTATTCGGTTAATCCGATCGTTGCGGTTTCTTAACCGTTTTATCTCATTCATTTGGCCAATCTGATCATTGCTGTTTCCTAACTGTTTTTACTTTACTTATTTGGTTATTCGACCAGTTTTACTTGATTAGTTGCTCAATTGTCAAAAAAAAAAAAAAACAATCGTTAAAGAATTTGAGTTATTCTTGTATTTTCCTTTTATTCTTAACAAAAAAAAAGAAAAAAAAAAAAAAGGGGGACAACTGTCATAACTCAAATTTTAGTACAATTTTATTTTTGTTTTTATTTTATTTTTATTTTAACTGATATGTTTTGTTTTATTCTTCCTTGTTAGGTTCGTGAGCGAAAAAGGATTATGTGAAGAGGATTGGAAAAAGAGATGAAAGAAGTTGAAAGAAAAGGGACTCAATTGAAGAAATCAAAAGTTAGAAGAAAGAAATTCATCAAAATTAATTTACAAATCTAACACCAACCCATTTCAATTGAGCCTACTAAATTATCCAAACCCAAAACCCAAAAAAGCTCAAAACCCAAAATCCAA